GGCTGGAGTGCAGTGGCACAATCTCAGCTCACTGCAACCTCTGCCTCCCAGATTCAAGCAATTCTCCTGCCTCAGCCTCCCGAGTAGCTGGGATTATAAGCGCGTGCCACCACGCCCAGCTAATTTTTTGTATTTTTAGTAGAGACAGGGTTTCACTCTGTTAGCCAGGATGGTCTCGATCTCCTGACCTTGTGATCCGCCCACCACGGCCTCCCAAAGTGCTGGGATTACAGGCGTGAGCCACTGCACCTGGCCAATACATTGGAAGTGAACAGTTGAAGCTCTAGAAGTAGAGAAATCGACTTTAATAAATGTACAGGCCAATAAAAATAGCAGGAAAATTTGCTATCAGTGGTTGTCCTCTCAAAAACAAATCTGAGGTGGGATGATGATTTTAAATCTTGTTTATGGGTGGGATGATGATTTTAAATCTTGTTTATGGGAAGAATGAATTCCTTTAAAATAAAAAAATGGCATAAGAAGGTTTCAGGGGCTAGGCTTGCACTAAGATTCTAAAGAGAGACACCTGTTACAGTCTATATACTAGATTAAATGAGGTAAGAGAAAAAGTATTAATAACATATCTAAGGCTAGTAAAAGAGGCAATCAATGAAGAATAACAAAAGCATGAGGACAAAGAGAAGAAACGCAGATTCACCTATCAGGCCTAACTAAAAAGTTGTAGGACTTATTTTCCTTTGGGGCCTATCAGACAATCTCATTGATTAGGAAAGCAATACATCACACATCTCTTACATTTGCTGATCTACACTATACATACCAAAAACAATAGTTTTTCCACACGTTAAAATTTGAGGCTGGCTTCCAAATTTCAGCCAGCAATGTTAAAAGACAAGACTCAAAACCACCAAATAAGTCAGCCCCAGTGCAAGGCAATCACTAGCATCGTAGAACAGCATCGCCCAGTACTAAGATGAACACTCACACCCACGACCTCCTCATCCTGCAGTTTTTCAGTCCCATGCCACTGTCTGCGTGACCTCTTTCCTACTCTGACTGTCCTCACACAGTCCAGAGGCCCTGTCCTCACTGTATCTGGCATAAATAATCAGCTGTTGGCTTCATGCTCAGCTGCATATGTTGTTCACCTCTGTCAGAGAGCACTGATAGCGTTGTAGCAAATTTACATTTTGCATGTCAACCAAAATTCGGTGACACACCAGAGAAGGGCTTTCAGGTAGTAAAACAGGCCTGAATATAGCAAACCACTTCGTTGATAAAGCAAAATGAAAAAAACAATAGAACTATGAACAGGAGCTCTTGAGGCACAGGATATGGAAGAACAAGAGTAAGTTTTACAGGGCATTTGAAACAACGACCAGACTAGGAGGACTATACTGTAAGGAAAGAAGAATGTCACCATGGGGTGCGTATGCGACCAGGCTCAGCTCTATCATAAATTCTTTGCCTTCCCTCTAAGACAGGCGGATGGCAAAGTTAGGGAAAGAAGCTAATTAACAAGGATGAACTGATTCCAAAACCCTCACCATTGTCTTACACCACAGGCATTTCCAATCCTGTAGACGGAGAACACTGCCACACGTTTTGTCGCAGACAGCACACTTGGCACTTACAGGCAGGTTGCCCTCGAGCCACTGGTGAGGCATCGCCACCTGTGGAGAAGGAAGAAAGGGCAGCCAGGTGAAGACTGGTGGACACCAACCTTACCCCAGGGAAGATTTTGAATCATTTCTCACTCTAGGGGATCGGTAGTATATTTCATGCATAGCATTCACTCATTTACCCCACATTTATTGAGCATCTACTATGAACGTTCAAGCAATATAAAAGTAAGGTAAAGGCTTGCCCCTCAGGGTTTAGCTGAGGCATGAAAAGGGATGACAATAAAGTGATTACTAAGTGTTACCAGAAATCCATATGCATGGTGCAATGGAGGCAAGGTTTTGAAAGCAGAGGTGTACTGTTGACAGGCAACCCCAAAGTCTGAAGAGTGAACATCTCAGCTAAGCCTAGGCATCTCAGAGTTCATCAGAGGTCGACAACAACAGCCCAGCACAACGGCCACTTCTAAGCTGTATTCACAACAGATTTCCTTCAAAATCTAAGAACTAAAGGAAGCTATGAAGGATTGAATTAAAAATAAAAACTCGGAATCAACCAAACCTTCTATTAAATCCTAATAATAAGCATTCCTACTTATCTTTCTCAGCTTCCACAAGAGCAGAACATAAAAGAGGAGTTACTGGGAAGAGAGCAGAGACAGAGCAGCAGCTTACGCCATCTTCATCTTCTATAATGTCCTTCCCAATGGAGGCCAGGGTAGTCCATTTACAGTTATTTGTTGCTCTCACTGCACATCTTTTGTGAGCCTTGAATTTACACACTGAAAAAAAAAAAAAGAGCAACTGCTTTTAAGTGGACAAGAACTTTTGGACCAATGATTAAAGGAAATCACAGCATAAAATTTTAAAAGGGAGGGAGGAAGTAGAAGAAAACAAATATATTTAAAAGATTAAATTATTCTGCAACAATAGTGATGGTATTCTAGAAAACAAATATGGCTATGTATTTATGAAGCACTTTTATCAAGCTCTAAGTAGATTGCTACTTAGAGGAACAGAAAAGAAAGAAATGCAAAAGAATTACTGCTGTAGAAGGCAGACAACACGCACATAGGAGAGAGGGAGAGAGGGAAGCAAATAAAATTTGGTAGCAGGTCTGCTGGTGATATCCTATTTTTAAATGTAGGTGCTGATTATATGAATGTGTTCAATTTGTAAAAATTCATCAAGCTGTACATTTCTGGTATTTGTATTTTTCTATACATATAAAATACTGATTATAAGTCTGAAAATGTCAGTACGATAAAGTTGATCCAGAGGGGCTGTAAAGTGCAAGTATACCAATAAGACAGCCCGGCATCATGGAAAATAGGTTGGTGAGGGTCACAAACACGGCCCGATCTTCGGAAAGTATTATGTTGAGATGACCAAATGACAAATGTAAAAAGAAGGGATGATGAAGTGATGCTGTCACTACAGGATTCACTAAATCTCCCCAGCCATATTATCAAAAGGAACTTATAAAAGAGAAATTGGAGGAAATAACTAGGGGGAAAAAAGCAGCCCATATATGGAAAAACAAGTGAACTACAGGTTATCTGAAAAGTTAACCATACTCATGAAAATCGGAATTTGACTATTATTAAACACGTTTATCTCTCTAAGGAAATTATTCAAATATTAGTGGATACTGATATTAAGTCAGTTCCTGACTTCTAGCTAAAAAGTTAAAAGTAGAAATCATTTCAGTGCAAACATACTAAGGTAAGTGTTGCTAAATTTAAATGCAAGGTATCTCCTTTTCATGTGATTTTCTGGATTTCCAAGTCAATCATTAACAAATTTTGTATCACACACCATTCTCTTGAAACTGCCTTAATTTGATATAACATGAACCCAAAAGTTTCAGGTAAAATAACTAAGATGTCTTTAGCCAAATGTTCAAAATGCTTCAGGTATCATGACTAATCTATGTACAAATGGATGGTTAAACTGAGCTGGTTTATCCTTGAAAAGTATTAGTCTAGGCCAGGCACAGTGGCTCACGCCTGTAATCCCAGCACTCTGGGAGGCCGAGGTGGCGGATCACCTGAGGTCAGGAGTTTGAGACCAGCCTGGTCAAAAACGTGAAACCAACGGCCGGGCGCGGTGGCTCAAGCCTGTAATCCCAGCACTTTGGGAGGCCGAGACGGGCGGATCATGAGGTCAGGAGATCGAGACCATCCTGGCTAACACGGCGAAAGCCCGTCTCTACTAAAAAAATACAAAAAACTAGCCGGGCGAGGTGGCGGGCGCCTGTAGTCCCAGCTACTCCGGAGGCTGAGGCAGGAGAATGGTGTAAACCCGGGAGGCAGAGCTTGCAGTGAGCTGAGATCTGTCCACTGCACTCTAGTCTGGGCTCACAGAGTGAGACTCCATCTCAAAAAAAAAAAAACAAAAAAAAAACGTGAAACCCCGTCTCTACTAAAAATTTAAACATTAGCCAGGTGTGATGGTGCATGCCTGCAATCCCAGTTACACGGGATTCTTATGAGACATAAGAATTGCTTGAGCCCAGGAGGCGGAGGTTGCAGTGAGCCGAGATTGTGCCACTGCACTCTGGCCTGGGAGACAGAGTAACACTCTGTCTCAAAAAATACCAATAATAACAATAATAATGATCATTCATACAAATTGGAAATGTTTTGCTTCCCTTCTCTTTTGTGTACTTTGAAAAATTCTTTTCCTTCCACCATTTTTGTTATAAATGAGTGTGTAACTCAAACACAGACTTCATATAGAAAATAATACTTCACTTGAGGCTGGGTGTGGTGGCTCACACCTGTAATCCCAGCACTTTGGGAGGCCGAGGCAGGTGGATCAGCTGAATTCCAGAGTTCATGACAAGTCTGGCCAACATGATGAAACCCCAGTTCTACTAAAAATACAAAAATTAGCTGGGCATGGTGGTGTGCGCCTGTAGTCCCAGCTACCCGGGAGGCTGAGGCAGGAGAATAGCTTGAACCTGGGAGGTGGAGGTTGCAGTGAGCCGAGATCATGCCACTGCACTCCAGCCTGGTGACAGAGTGAGACTCCATCTCCAATAATAGTAATAATAATAATAATAATAATAATAATAATACTTCACTTGAATTTTGTTGCTGATGAATCCTAAGTGTGAAGACACAGCACCATCAGAAGGAAGCTTAGCTTGGTGAAAATTTTTACAATGACTTATTCCCTTTTGCTCTAACATAAGTGATTACTTTAAACTGATTGGTTAGCATCTCTAGGCCTTTTCATCTATTATGGTCTTTGTCAAAAGTGGAGTCCTAAAACTATCTGCAACATATTTCCCAGGGTGCTTTGTAAGTACAAATAAGTACTTGATATTCACAGTCAATATCTGGCTTCTAAGGGGAAAAGCAGGACATAAAAGAGAGTAATGGTATAATTTCAGAGCGTTTTGAAAATTTTGCCATTAAAAATCGAACAGCCCACTAAAAATAAAAAAATCACACTTTTATAATAATAAAGTGCTTCATGTAATGAGCCTTGAAAATTACCAAGTTGCTTAATATAATATAACACTAATAATAAAAGAAATCAGACTGTAATTATGGTAACTAAGAAATGAAAGTGATCAGCACACACCCGAATTTTGTTAACAAATTTCTCCAAACAAGTTATTCTGAAATAAAGCACCTTCCCCTGACCTGTAAAGTTATTGTTTAAAATGAGAGAACTTAAAAAATAGGCCAGGCCTGGTGGCTCATGCCTGTAATTCCAGCACTTTGGGAGGCCGAGGCGAGCAGATCACCTGAGGTCAGGAGTTTGAGACCATCCTGGCCAACATGGTGAAACCTCATCTCTACTAAAAATACAGGAATTAGCTGGGCGTGGTGGGAGCACACCTGTAGTCCCAGCTATTTGGGAGGCCGAGGCATGAGAATCACTTGAACCCGGAAGGCAGAGTTTGCAGTGAGCTGAGATCGCGGCACTGCACTCCAACCTGGCAACAGAGCAAGACTCTATCTCAAAAAACAACAACAAAAAATGCAGACGTAATAAGATTATGATTTTTTATTACAATATTCAGCATTTACTATACTAAATCTCTGTGAGTGTTAAAAATCAGTTAAGTGTCGTGGTTTAATCCCCGCATTTCGGAAGGCCAAGGTGGGAGGATAGCTTGAGCCCAGGAGTTTGAGACCAGCCTGGGCAAGATGGTGAGACCTAGTCTCTACAAGTAATAAATAAAAAAAATTAGCCAGGCATGGGTGGTGCATGCCTGTGGTGCCAGCTACTCGGAAGGCCAAGGTGGGAGAATTGCTTGGGCCTGGGCAATTAAGGCTGCAATGAGCTGTGATTGTGCCACTGCACTCCAGCCTGAGCAACAAAATGAGTCCCCCCATTGCAAAAAAAAAATCATTTAAGATCAAAATTCGTAAGTACCCATGATAACATATTTTGATGCTGTTGATTTTTTTAAAATTATCATTTATCTTTTTTGGTTAAATTATTGTTTAAATAACTGTAAAGGACAATTATGCCCTGAAATTACAATTAATATTCTTAATTGACTTAGGGGATTATTAATAAATTCGATTTTTCTGTCTGCTATTTTTCATTCATATAATATTTTATATATGCAAAGCTTTAAAATAATAACTTTAGTTATTCAATATACATCTAGGAAACAAATCAGTGTGGCTTCATTTTATTGTGGAAATGAGGGTAGAAAGGCTAGTAAATGTAGTGAAGGCTTCATAGATTGGAAGCTGAATTCTATGCTCATACAAAGTTATTCATGTTCACCGTGGAACACATCATAATATTTGCATCTCTTACAATATTTAAAGCCTCTTGTATCTAATGTTTTCAGTTTTATCAAGCAAGCTGCTTATTCAGATTTTAGGGGGTTTTCAAAAGTGTAAGTATGACTTTGATTATGATGAAAATATCCAGAACAACCATATTCTCATAAAATATAAAAAGGCAACTTTTTTATATTTATTAAACCCTTGGGATTTTTAAAGTCTTCTGCGATGGTTCTGAAAATACTAATAGGCAAGATACTGCAGATTTAAAAATTTTTACCAACAAAGGAAATGAATACTAATATATAATTTTCATTAAAAAATGGTTTAATCTGATAATTGAGACTTTTTAAAAAGTCTTGAAAATTATATTATTTATAGAAGAATATAACAAATTTATTTGTTTTGTTTCAGTTTTTTGGAGATGGAGCTTCACTCTTGTTGCCCAGACTGGAGTGCAATGGCCCGATCTCCACTCACCGCAACCTCCAACTCCCGGGTTCAAGCAATTCTCCTGCCTCAGTCTCCCACGTAGCTGGGATTACAGGCATGTGCCACCACGCCTGGCTAATTTTGTATTTTTAGTAGACACGGGGTTTCTCCACGTTGGTCAGGCTGGTCTCGAACTCCCAACCCCAGGTGATCCACCTGCTTCGACCTCCCAAAGTGCTGCTATTACAGGCGTGAACCACCGCACCCAGCCAAATATAACAAATATAAAGACTTTTAAGTTTCTTATTCTCACCAAATAATGTAATTTTCATTTTTCTTTTAAAATGCTTAGAAAAAAATTCAGTCATTCCACTACTGACTCAATTTTTAAATACATATATTTAATAATGTATAACCCTCAAACCAGAAGGGTACCACAGACTGTCTCAGATGTGGTGTCTTTGTAGCATTTTTGGAATAAAGATTTTAGTAAAATCTTTAAAATAATACCATATAATATTACAGACCTGGTAGGAGTTATTCGGCTCTATGTGAACCCTTTTAGATTACTAAAGTCATCACAAAGGCCAATCAGATCTCTTTTGCAATCATTCTTTAAGTCTAAAAAGAAAGCTTTAATGCCTTCTCCAAATTTTCTCCTTCATGAATTTTAATGCATCAAGCCCATGATGCAAATTTGGAATAAGTTTCTTACAAAACAGTTACAAACTTCTTGCAATTTATTGAACTAGAAAAGTAGTTTTATTGCATGTATTCTCTCATTAGTTTTTATAGTGATTCTGTGAGGCATAAATGACTATTATCTGCATCTTATCGATGAGGAGAGGAAAGTCTAAGTGAGTTAAACAATTTCTCCTGGTTATAGTTTGTAATGGTGGAAGTGGAAGATAGTTTGACTGAAAAGCTCTATTTTTGGTTCGTTTTTTTTTTTTTTTTTGGAGATGGAGTCTCTCTTTGTCGCCCAGACTGCAGTGGCACCATCTCGGCTCACTGCAAGCTCCGCCTCCTGGGTTCACGCCATTCTCCTGCGTTCACGCCATTCTCCTGCCTCAGCCTCCGAGTAGCTGGGACTACAGGCACGCACCACCATGCCCGGCTAATTTTTTGTATTTTTAGTAGAGACAGGGTTTCACTGTGTTAGCCAGGATGGTCTCGATCTCCTGACCTCATGATCCGCCTGCCTCGGCCTCCCAAAGTGCTGGGATTACAGGCTTGAGCCACCGTGCCCAGCAAGAGCTCTATTCTTTACCACTATGCTGTATCATATTAAATATTTGAAACAATGACATATCACAGATTTTATAGTTTAAAATCAATTAAGGCTGTGACTCTATTACTACTTTATTACTTAATTATAAATAAGTGATATTCCAAATTACTTAAGAAACTTTTGGATTAGAGAAAAAACGCTGGTATTATTATTATCATATATAGTTCAAAAAGTAGTACACAGCAGTGTAATCACTGAAGTATGAAATAAAATAACTCTGAAGAAGGTATGAGTTTTCTGTTGGCGATTATTAATGTATTTGCTTTTGGTGGTCACTGCTCTTACATTAAAAATAACTCACAAATCTGCTCATGCCTCTAATCCAGCACTTTGGGAGGCCAATGCAGGAGGATTGCTTGAGCCCGGGAGTTTGAGACCAGCCTGGGCAACACAGTGAGACCTCCATCTCCAGAAATTAAAAAAAAAAAAAAGATTAGCCAGGTGTGGTGGTGCTTGACTGTAGTCCCAGCTACCAGGGAGACTGAGGTAGGAGGATCATTTGAGCCCAGGAGGCTGAGGCTGCACAGAGACTTGATCATGTCACTGCATTCCAGGCTGGGTGACAGGGTGAGACCCTTTCTCAAAACAAAACAAAATAACAACAGCATAGGCCTTATTTTTAGAAAATTTTAAGGAAATTAAAAAGGATGATACCTATGTAGATTAAACAAATGAAATGAAAGAAAACAATATTGAAAACAGTCCAATATAATTAACAATCAGAAATTCTGCCAAAGAGTATATACTGTCCTCACAAAAAGTTTTGCTCTCCATAATCAACCAGAATAAAGAATACCAGAATGATTACACAAGGTCCAAAGATTTTTTTTTTTCTTTTTTTTAGGCAGTAGTTCCTAGTTTCTTGGGGCTGAAATGCTGTATTTTGATTTATGTTTCCTTTAAATGACTATGTTATTTTTTTCCTGAGCAAAAATATTTCTCAAGCTAGTCCTATGTGTGGAAAGCCCAATTTAAAGCTACAGTGAAACCAGCGGTGGCATGTCTACAGTATGGTCACTGTCTGGAGAAAACACATGCTAGGTGCTACAGTACCTTCGCAGGACAGGCCATGGGAGGTGACTCCAGAAAGACTCTCTCTGCACACGTTACAGAAGGTGGGCCGGGCGTGGGAGCAGGCGTACCAGTTGTGCATCCCTGAGAAATGTTCCACATTAAACTGGGCCACCTAGAACAGAGATGTGAGGACAGATGTACCAAGCCAGCGAACAAGGCTACAGATGCTGAACTCTTTGGAATGCATATAGTTATGGTCAAATTTTCAAATCCGTCATTTTTAAAACCAAAGCCCTTTGCTTTAAGCTAAGAATTTCAAAATCTGGTTTAAACAAGTTGCTGAAGGAGTGTACACATACTTACGTTTGCACAGTAGAGCTCTAGCCCTTTGGTTAACATTTATTTCCTAAGAACACGAGACGGAAGAAAAGATGCTATTTTACCTCGTAGGGTTCTCTGGTCTGTACAGACTTCAGCGAGCTGATCCAATCCTCCATCTCCTTTCTGTTCTCAGCACACAGCATTAGCCTTCTGAAAGGAGTGATGATCTGAAAGGGATAATTCAATCTAATGATTGTTAACACCCAAAGAGAAAGATTGTTGCAAAACCTGACACCTTCTGAGGTAATTCCATTTCTAACCTGAGTCTTTATTTCTTATGTTTTTGTCCTCTGTATGATAAAAATAATGTGGTCTAGGAAAGAAAAAGCCTAAGGAGTTTTTCTATCTTTGACCCTTTTGCTACTTACTTGGGCTCTTTAGCCCTTTTTTCTAAGGCTATAAACCCAAAGACACAATGCATTCTTATTCCACGAAATATATCTTGCAAACTGATTTTAAATATACTTCAAAATAATTCATAGTAAGCTTAGAAGGAATACATAGTTTTCAATATGGAAAATATTTTTAAATTAAAAATCAAAGAAATATAATATTAAATGATTTCTTAATTATTTTAGTTTTCAATATGGAAAATATTTCTAAATTAAAAATCAAAGGAATGCAATATTAAATGATTTCTTAATTTTTTTTTTTTTTAGTAGAGGCAGGGTTTCACCATGTTGGCCAGGATGGTCTGGATCTCTTGACCTCGTGATCTGCCCACCTCGGCCTCCCAAAGTGCTGGGATTACAGCTGTAAGCCACTGTGCCCGGCCACCTAATTGATTTATTATGGTATCAACAATATTCTGTTAATATTTAAATAATATTGAGTTTACATATCACTTCTACTGTCTATTTTAATAATTTATGAAGATTCTTCCTCCATTGTGTAGAACTCCACTGTACTAGTATTTAGTGAGAGCAGGGACAAAGAATTAACATAAACAGCCTTCTGTCGGCTTTAGGGAAGAAAAGAATTGCGATTTTTATCTTTTTTCATGTCATTAAAAAGGCAACTTAATTACATTAAGGACCTTAAAGCAAGTGGAATGAAAACTTCACACTGTCACAGGATCAAAGTGCTTCAAAGTAAGATTCTGAAATGACTTGAAAGAAGCCCCTATTTATTTGTAAATACAATATTCTGGCTATAATCTTGAAGTTACTAAATCCTACACATTTACTGTCAAGAAAAGATCATTTATTTACTTGCAGAACAAGAGAAAAATGTTGCATTCCTACCTGGAAACTATTTCCAAAGAATAAAGCACATATCTATTTATATAGCAAATAAGAATTTTTCTCAAGTTAAAAGCCTCTTGATCAAGTGATAAGTCTAAACGTTACATTGGATTATTGAGCAGATTTCACCAGTAATGAAAGAGCAATAATCTTCTAAAACAAACAAAAAGAAAAAATGAATCCTTCCCAAAAGGAGTAAACTAGTAAGCCTAAATCATTACTATTCATCTTGGAAAATAAGTCCATTATTCAAAACAACAGAGAGATCAATCCAGTCTTAGCTACTCACGAGTCATTGCCGCCTCTCACTTGTCATGGGTTCAGGCTACAGATTCCTTCCTTAAACCCAGAAGCTTTAAATACATCTAACAGGCACTCACCCTTAAATACAGCCAGCCAAAAGTCACATGGAAGAGGAGCACCAATCAGTCAGCTCTGGATATTTGTTAATTGCATATGAAATTGAAGAGAACCTCACTTTTGCATTTTCTTGTTTTCCACGACCCTCTTTGGATAAAGTTTATTAACAGTTGGTCACTTCTCTTCCTGAATAAATAGTTAATGCAAAGAACAATGCCTCTCATTACTTAAGAGCCAAATGGATGCTTTATTGCTTCAAAATGTTTTTCTAGGACAGCTCATGAGATGCAGCAGAGAGGTACCATTAAATCATAATACACTCCTGGCTCTAATGACTGGCACAGCATTTCAGAGTCTCCAAGTTTCATTGGACTCGCTGATGTTTTCTGAATAAATATTGTCTCTAGCATTTACTGTATTTATTTTTTGCTACCTTATATGATGTAACTCTAAGGATTCCCTCTCCTTCCCTTATATGAGATAAAGTATCATGAGACAAGCATTATTCAGACAAATAAAGCAGGCTTGCTATTTTGTTCTTTAACTTTGTTCTTTGCTGAATTCTAAGTAAAGCATGATGACTAATGGTTTTAACTGTCTTTAGTGCCTTTACATTAAATGTCTTGTAAAGTCACTGTAAATTCAAGAAAAAGGGGAGAAAGAAGGATAAAAAATAGCTTCTAATTTTTCTTTGCATATTTGGAATTACACAAATGCCTCAATTCTAAATGATTTCAGCAATATAAATCATGTGTGCTTATATACTAATAAAGTAAAATGTACACATTTGCAATTTCTCCTTTTCAATAAAAACCTGTTTTAAAGTGAACAGTAATAAGCAAGGAAAGATCATAACACATTTAATAAAGTTAAGTTTTCCAGAGGCAAAAAAAATTGGAAAGTTATTTTGATTTATAGCCCTTGTGATTAAGAAATCTACTGATTATAAAATGACATTATAAGAAGTCAGTATGAAAAAGAAATCATACTGGCTTTGTGGCCACAGTGCCACAAATACCTCAGTGAGCAGCCCAGAGTTGTCTGGGCTTACTAGACGAGCCTGGCTTACCAACAAACCCGTTAATGCCTCCCAGATGGACCTTTTCTTCCTGGGGTAATCCCTCGGCAGTCCTTCAATGCTCTAGTCCCCTCCCACCTTTTATTTAAATTCTTCCTCATCCCAGACCTTCCTAGGAAAGGATGGGACAGATGCAGCTGTTGACTGACAGGCTCTGGTTATCCCTAGCTGAAATGCATTACACTGCAGCAGCTTCTCATCGAAATCTTTATTAGGAAGATACCCGGGGAGGAGCAAACTCCAAAATGTATTATTATGTCCTTATTTTGAGAATAAGATGTCCTACAAGTGAGTAGGATAGGGGAGATGGAAGGATAGAACGCAATCCCTCCACCATACTTGGGGGAGGGGTTATTCACCAGCGAAAACCAGGCCTGGTGGGGAGGACAGGCCCAGGATGTTTCTGGAACTAGAAGACGTTTTACTTTTCCTGGAAGAGCTGAAGCTCACCTATCCTAAAATGTCTCCGAGTCCTTGTGCTTACCTCAACCCCACTCTAACTGCCTCTCCTACCACCATCATATTTACCAATCATTTTTTTCAGACATATCTGAACTTACTTCAGTAATTTTTTCAAACTATAACCACCCAGTCCCACATCAGATTCTGGGGTACACCTGCCTGTCTGTTCATCCATTCAAGCATTTATTAAGCATGTACTGCCTGCCAGGGCCAGGGATAAAAACCACATGGGATTTGCTTTAAAGAGGGTACAAGGAAGACAAGAAGTAAACCAAGGATTACTTTGCCTGAAAAAGTACTAGAGAAGATGGGGTCCAAAGGACAGACATCTAAATCAGTTTCGTAAGTGCTAACTCAAATAATATATAAACTTTCCATTAATAGAAATATTGCCCCACCTTGGGAGTTACTGACCTGTAAGGATTGAGCCAACGACACTATTATGTAAGAGTCAAAAATTTCTCAGTCTGACAATGCATATAAATGCATAAAACAGACCAAAAAAATTTGGCATTAAATATAAAAATCTATAGAAGAGTAACATTGTAGTTAAGATGTCAAATATATAAAGGTGTGCAGGCTGAAAAAAAAAAAAA